GGGGGGGGGAGGGAAGAAGACTCCTCACAAGACATCGAAGGCGTATCGATAAAGCCACACCTCCAGGTCGAAGGGTTCCCCGGACAGAGTAAAACGGTCCAGCCGGGACACGAAGATTTCTGTGGTGGAGTCGACCGCCGGCTCGAAGTCCATCGTCGCCGTCATTCCGTACGCCCCGGCGATGGGCTTGCGGATGCGGGCGTGGTGGTCTTCGTCAGACGTCTCGAACAGACCCGGCACGCACTCCCCCCCATACCATAGCTCGACGATGGAGTAGAGCCGGGTCTTCGGAAAGGGACAATGGAAGCCGTAGATGATCGGAATCAGGGTCGGGTCCGAGATGGACACGACGCGAGGGCCGATTCTCACGAAATGGGAGTTCAGCTGACGATGCAGACGAATTTGCGTCTCGGCCGGGTTGGAGCAGAGGGTGTCGAGCACGCGCCAAACGTTGCTGAAGCCGGCGAGGAAGGGGCCCGGGATTGAATTGAGGCCACGACCGTACTTGTTGACCAGGAGGTGTAGGGCGACGAATCCGAGAAGCAAGGTGGCCCAATACTGCTCGACCAAGTCGCGGACGGTGTCTTTTAGCACTGCCATGGAGTCGGTTGGTGCCGTTCAATAGGACTACTTTGGACGTCAAATTTCAGGGCCGGCCCAGTGGTCGAATTCTGGGCACGGGGCGTTCTTTTTCATCTCGAAGGCGATCGTATACAACGCGAGGAGGATGACGGCAATTAAAGGATCTCGCGCGCGCGCGAGAGAGCGGAGTGGCCAGATGATGGGGAGCGATTGCTGACTGGGAAGAAAAAACGGTTGGAGCAAATCGTCTTCCGATTTAACTTTTGATTGAGCTATTGCCCACTGGACGCCCATATATACTACGTAACATCCGTCCCGAAACAACAAGCCAAACCCTATAGGCCGAAACGGCGTGCACCTTCGCTTACACAGCGCGAATTCCTGCCACTGACGACATACTACGATGTGATATCTCCTTGGTATGTCCTGGGAAGTTATCGGTGGGTGTCTGACAGCCCCTGTAAAAGACTCTTCTTGGCTCTCTGATGCTTGGAATGTTTCGGAAAATGCAGCCATGATGAAATGTCTGCGCGTGACTTTTCCTCCTTACGAGGATATAGAATGGCAATAAGTATGAATAAAATGACGTCCAATACTGTACAGTACCGGATCATTTCGCCACAGCCGCACAGATTGTTAGGGAAGAGAAGAAACTGGTTGCTCCTTCGAACAATTCCTCTCAAGTCAGATACGTGACCCATCATCCGCAACGCTGCCCGTCACATACAGATCAACCTTCTATCACGTGACTGGCTGGGTCCGCCGCTGCGACTTGAATTCTACCGAGTAAGTTACTACGTTCTGGGGACGGTCTGACTAGTGTGATTGTCAATACTTTGCCTTGGCAAACTCTGTCAGTCACCCTACAGGTCAATCTTGGCTCTGCAGCCCGGCCCAAAAACCCATTTTAACCATTTGCGATTCGCCAGGTTGCTGGACTGTGGTATGTGAATTGCAAAACCGCCTTCCTCGAAGAACAATTCTTTTCTGCTCTGTGGCTTTCGGCTTTCGGTGGAGACTAGGGATCCGCAATTAGGTTAGACTTGGTATACAGGTTATTCGGTTTTCCGTATTAATGGAAGGAATTTTAGAAATGCTCTGAAATTATCTTGTTTTTGGGATCGGTGTGTCCGCTAACCGCAGTTAGTGGGGTAACTTTGCCAAGACTGCTGCCTAATCTCATCAGGCTCGCCCTTTCGTCACGCTTCACTCTGTAGCTGTACGCGCGTTGAGATAGATTCATCTCGCAATGGGTCCAAACCACCCTGTCGTCGGCTATGGAGCGGTATGTGTCAAAGCGAATGACTGACGAACCACTCACTAACTCGAGTATAGCTTATTGATGTTTATTTCAAGGATAACCACCCACCGGGATTGGCCTCGGCTGAAGTGGCACTGAATTTTGAAGCGGGTTTCTGCTCCTTGTCATGCTCGACACTTCGATACAAAATCCCGCAACGGTTAGGCTTTCTCTCCGCGTACGATGACATTAATTTGACTGTGTACGCGAGCCGCCTTCAACCAGTCGAACCTCGACCGGCGTACTGCATCAACATTTACGGCCCAACGAAAATAGGCTATAGCAACAGATATTGGCAAGAAGCTTGGGAATCGAAAGCTTTACCTACAAACACCGCCCCAACTGGATCTTAATATTCAATATTACAACCCGCAATGTTTACAAAGGAACTCTCAGTCGTTCACGCTTTGTATGGGAACTCAACCTCATCTCTCCCCATCGCATGGTGTCAACTGCATTCACCAAACTATAGATCCTGCTTTATTCTTCGAATTCAAGTGTTGGAGAAGTTCATCTGGAATAGAGTTTAGCACCGACGCTGAAGCTCACCAGAAGGCCTCGCAATAAGAATGAAAAGGTTTCTGCCGCAATCGTCTAAGGTCTACTAGATGGATATCAGCTCAGTGTCAAGTTTCTGATAATGCACGCAAAATATTTCCTGGACATGAATAGCTCAGATATTGACGATGAGGTGAAAGAAGCTAGCTCTAATGTGACCACGGTGTGCGGGAAAACGGTGAAAGCTGTTCACTTGATTTTGCATAAGATTCTGGCGATGAGACTGCCTAGACGCTCAGTTCAGCGAGCTCAGCGAGCTCAGGAATGAGATATGGTAGTTGGAACCAAGTCATCGAAACCCCGATCAAGAGTAACCTCATTACGGAGTATATAAAGTCCGATAAGCACATCTACAATGGTGTCGAACATAGGCCCCGTATCGGAGGGTAAACTCAAGAGATGACTATCATCGGCCCCCTTTCTCCCTATTTCCACGTTGAGATCGTTGGACCTGGATTGTCCGGTCGTTGTATTTTGCCCGAAAGCATGACCAGTCTGTGCTCCCACATTGCAGGATTAATTCGACGCCTTCCTTGAAATACCCTAAAGCGGAGTGTCCCACGACGGCCTTCACCACCACTAGTTTCTCCAAAGATCTTGCGTATGGCCCTTCTATCGGCAACAGGTGTGCCTCCGTGACCACGGCATCCTGCGAAAGCAATCAGCGTGGTCGAAACCTGGCTTAGAGGCGGGGTTGAAAGGTTGCCTCTGTTGACCTGATGAAGAGCGTCGGCACAGGAGAGTTCGATCGTGCCAGAAGCTCGTGCAAGTGCCGATCGGCCCGCCGCAAGTCTTCCTTCCGCTGTTTGAAATAGGCGATATAGTCGTCGAACAGGGGCCAGGTCGCTAGCATCGGCCAATTCAAGATTCGACTCACGACGGCGAGCAACGGTGCCGGCGCCCATTGGGCGCATTTCAGATACCCACTCTGTTGGAATTCGGCGATTATTGAGAGGAACACCTCGCCGTCTTTCGGGGTACTGTCCAAAATCAAGCGAAAAGAGGGTAGCTCGTCCGCCAATGTCGATGTAGGCCCACCGCACCCCCGTACGAAAGACAGTGGAAGATGTGGCGGCGGCCCGAAGCCATTATTCCGATCTCCCTCATGGGCCGGACCCGACTTGCCAGCTCTTTCGCTGGCAAATCAAAGCTGCCGTCCTCGTCGGTCGGCTCACATGGGCTTCGACAATTGTTGGGGAAATACAAGACGGTGGAGCAAGGGCTTCCGGCGGTCAACAACCCGCGCACCCGATCGAAGACGCCTTTCCATTTCGTGTCCTGGCCTGGGATGAGGCAATAGGTAAAGTGTACGTCGTGGTCACCGGGATAGGGACTGTCAAACTTATAGGTCTGCAACTCGCCGAAATCTGACGGGGTGACGTACTCTTCTGCGGGAACGGGTGAACAGTATCGCTGGTGGGCTTGATAATATGTCTCGTTCCGGATCAGGTGCATAGGGGGATAGAACGGACGGACTGGATGAGCCATGTTTCGTGATGACAATCCACTTATGATTCGATTCTGTGGATAATCCCCGTGAGAGGGTTTTTGGTATTGTCGATCAAGTCGGTGTTTTAGGGCAGATTCTTTGCGGCGAATTCGCTGAGTGCTTGGCAGAACCTAGCTACACCAAGTTTAGCTCGTGATCAAGTCAATTCTCTATCTGTGCCACGAATCTCGTCTCCTATTGGACCTCGCCGCCACCACCTCGTCGTCGCCTATCCTGCTGTATAGCCAACCTTGATGTTGATCGCTCACTAGTAGTGTGCTCGTGGGCTCGTTTACCTCTGCCAGTGCCACATCCAATCGCAGGCGGCGCCGTTGATGCCGGCAGGACTACTTCTGGCGAGTCCTCAGGCGAAGGGACTGCGGCGCGGCCGTGGCCGATCGGGGCGCCCTGAATCATGCACAAATCCACAGCGAGCCAACAACGAAGCTTGTGGCCGAGGCGAAGTTGGCTACGTTTGTTGGCCAGTGTCGCTTCTTGAACAATGTGTTGTCACAAGAGGGCGGGGGCATCTGCTGCAACTTCGATAGTGTTGACTTGTTTCGACCGGATCGGCCAGCTATGGGACGATGTGGCCTGAGACACGTGGAGTTGAAGAATTCCCGATGCCCAACGATCGGGGGACGGAAGGTAGTCACCGCTTACCTAGTCCGCATGGCCAGGCTCCGACTTCTTTCCTTCTCACTCCATCTCAGTCCCTCTCCTCATCTGATCGAACCTCGATTGATCAGGGTGACTGCGTAGCTCTCTCAACCAATGTGCTACACGACCTCTTGGGTGATTATCCGTCTGATTTCTCTCGTCCTATGTTGGACCCCTTGACTCTTTGTCAGATTGGACATTTCTCGGCCCCGCCATCTGGCTCTACTCTCGCCAACGAGAAAACAAACATTCTTAGCACTCGCCGATCTCGGATGCATCAACTTACTCTGAACACGAAAAGAGATTAAGATAGGGTCAACCTATTTCGTCACTGCTTAATTTGGCACACATAGGCAAGGGGGCTGAGAGCGCGTCGTTCGAGTGAGGTATACCTCCCCAGACCATGGGTCCTATCGGCTTCGCATACAACTATGTCGCTTCGCCTCCCACCCAACTAGTCGCCATGTCGTCGATAGCCATCACCGATTACATCATGCGATGCACGGGACTTGCGGCGTCCCTCACCCAGGGACCCGCGTCCCGCCCAGTTATGTTCTGGTACAAGTATGTCTCACTCTCTTCCACTTGAAGCCCGAGACACTAGAGGCGAAGGAACAGGGCGCCATTATCGATACCTATCACGATGGTTGAAGGGTGTGTCGGCCACGAGGTGGGCGTTGGACGGAACGCCTATCACGTCGCGTCACGGTCTCACTCCCTGGAGGGCCGATCCAGCCAGATTTACGGACGGTGGTATATCTGGGTGAGTCAACTCCGAGGAAGTGGCATCGAAAAGATGCGGCACGGATGCCCTTCCAACTAGTGTGCGCCTCGATATTAAGCACGCCACCTTTTCGGACCTACAGGATCCGCAGTGAAGATGGTTTCCAAAGGCTCTCTCGCATACGAAAAGTTTACCATTGGGCTAACCCCGCGCCTTGGTCGAGGGAACGAAGAACAACACGGGATAACGTTCTGGAATCTTTGAGACAAGTGGGTGAAATTTGCCTAAAAGGCGTCGGTCTACATTTCCGATTCGTGGGTGGCCCCGTGCCTGGCGACCGTCGTCCAGCTGAGCAATTTTTGATCCTCTAGTGTGGGCTCGGTATGCTACAGTACAGAAACGCCCTTTGAGAGCGGAAAGAGAAAGAAAGGAGAGGGGAGGGTTGGTTTGATCCTGCACAACCGCTGCTCCACCAGAGAGACATCGAGTGCGCCCTCCTATTGACTTTGGGCGACCTTTCCCAAAAAAAATCAAAAAAAATCGAAAGCCACCGCCACCAATAGAAGGAGGGTTTGGGAAAGTTTGGCTTGGGAGAAATGAATAAAGGAGTGGTGCAAGCGACGACGAGGAACGTGACGTACTGACCAAAGAGAGGTCGGGGACTGGCAGAGGTGGCATAGAGTCTCGATTTCCACCAATCCCCCAGATCATAATGATACTCACGACAATGAAGAGAAGGATGATAGGTGTATAGAAAGATGGGAGAACGGGAAATGGGAGTAATTACTTTGTGGCACCTTGGTGGTGAACCGTGTGATGGTGGTGTGCATGTGGGATGCCAAAAGAGACGCAAAAGCTAAAAGGGACCTTCCAGTTATCCTACCGTTTGTTCGACGCAGAGAGAAAGGAGAAAACGAACTACCCCAGCCGGTGTAGTAAGTAGCAACGACACGGCGGCTTGGAATGGGCGATACCTGCCAATGACTTCTCACTTGGTTGCCTTTCGACGGCTAAGCCACCCATCCGTATTTTGATTTCTCCACCTAGACATTCTCCTACCTTCTCCCCACGTTATTTCCGGTTCGTGGAAGAGGAAGTGGCGCCTTTGACTTCGAGATTACGGTTCTATGCCTATTTCTTCCTTGATTTGCCTAGCCCACGTTGGCTCGGCCCTCCGGGTCAGCCTGAGGATCTATCCGTTGTGAGTGGAAGAACGCCTCGTAAATAGCCTGACCGGCCGTATCCCCCCTACTAGGCTCTCTCCTATATTCACTTGTTGACTAGTCTCGTGGTAGCCTGGCGAATTGGTCTTTCTCGCCTCCCCCCCTCTTCCTATCTCGAGCCGGACGCCCATCGAGGCGTTCCCGAACCCCAAAAGTTCCACCGTAAAGATATCTCTTCTCCATATAGTCAGCATTGCACCCACTGTGTGTGTCCTTGAAGCTAGTCATATGTACCACCTACGAGGCCGATCCTCCACATCTCCTTGTCTTCTATTGTAGTCCTCTTAAAATGCTGTCGAAAGAAAAAAAAA